TCATTGATGAAACATGTATTAATTTTAAATGTTGCTGTAGAAAAATAAGTACTGCATTTGATAAAATGAACGATTTTTGTCGACTAATTTAACTTTTTAATAATAATTTTATTAATCCATAATTTAACAAGTAAATTTTTCCTTTCGAAACTTTAAATTTAGTTAAAAAATTAAGTAAATTATGATAAAGAATTTTCGTTTTTTTTTTTTTTTTTTTTTATTTTGTTGATTAGCGAAGCTTTATTATTGATATGATGAAAAAACGCTTAAAATATCTGAAATATTGAAACCATTATTAAGAAAGTTTATTCAAGACGGGCCTCAAACGCACATAAATTACTCTTTGCCACTTTTGAATAGAATATGGAGAATATAAAAGAGAATTTACGAAATAATACACAAAGAATACAAATTCGCAGTTAGAGAGAAAGAATGCAACTTCGCTACTACATCTAGAAAATACAAATATAGAGAGTACGGACATAGAATAATATATAAAGCTGTAGAGACATTAGGTATTTTTAAAGGAGTTAAGAAAAATGAGCAACTCCTTCGCCGGGAATCGACTCATGGACCTCTGGAATAAACTCCCAGCATGCAGACCACTACACCACGAAGACACGCTAAGAATTTGGAAGAAATACCTTATAGAGCTATACAAGTATACTAGAGTAATAAATATGTGTTGTGTCTTGCTATGTCTAAGTTTTATAGAATGTCAAATGCTGATGCTTTAGCAGAGATAGCCATAAAACTTTGTATCGATTTAAATCTTCCTGTTCATGTTCCTCATTGGAAGCGCTTTTATAGAAATGATTCTATGTGTATTTGGAATAAAGAATATCTGGTCTCTAGAAAAGAACAATGGTCAAAAAGGTTGCTTTCCTACAGTTTAATAGTTGAGGTCAATTTACAGCAGATCTTAAATTACTCAATTTTTGACCGATCACTGCAATTTAAGAGCTATTTAAAGTGATTCGCTCTTAGTTCAAGTGCTTTATGCAACTACCTTAGCGGCGATGAAGGTATTAGTCCTTCTTGAGAGCGTTCGCCATATCCAGCAGAGAAATGCACTTCAGGCTACTTTGAAGCACCTATCTGTATCTTGACCACTAATTTTTGCTAACTTTTGCGGTCTAAAGAGATAATTTCTGCTTTTCGAAATTTTTCCTCAATTTCGGTTATCTCAGTAGATTGAGTTCTCTTCATTTTATTTATTTAAATCTTTTTTTCTTTTACTCATTATTTTTTTTTTTAAATTCCCCCTTTAACAGTATTATTGTGCATTTGTTTATTTATTTTGTTAGTGCTATAACTTGCTTTTGTAAACCTGATGGTACACTTTATGGAATACAAGAATCCGAATTATAGTTAAAAAAAAAAAAAAAAAAAAAAAAAAAAAAAAAATCTGAACTGTTTCAGATTTGAAATTACGTCCAAAGGGGCGTTTTTTAACATTTTTGTGTGTTACCTTTCTTTATTAAATATCATGTTCCTCGCACTTAAACCATAAGATCCAGTGCAACAGCAATATCGCAAAATAGTTTTAAAACGAGCATATCTTTAGAATTTCCGATACAGAGACTCACGCGCTGGAGATAAAAATGTTTTTTCTGCACAACGTTGCCATTGCTCGCTTTGAAATCCTTGAGTTTGTTAATCAAAAATTCGTCAAAGTTTTAAAAAATAGGAAATCGATCATAAAACAAATTTCAAATTTCAAATTTGGTCTTCCACATGCTCATATTCGTTGGAGGATTACGTTATTCAAAATTCGATGACTCTATGTACCGTTGTTTTATCGCAATACGAGAAATATACATACATTTATGCAGATTTTTCATTATTTAATTTCTTAAAATATAATGCAGGACTCTAACATTTTGTGGCAACAGTTTGAAAAGTGAACCGACATTTATGAGTCCGACGCAAAATGCCAAAACGAAACTAATAGTCCTTCGGGATTCAAATGCCTTTGGACTAAAAAAAAAAAAAAAGAGGGAAAGTTGGGAAACTAAGGTAACATTTAACATTTCACACTTTTCCTAGGCATTCAAAACAGAATGCTAAAATTCTAAATAACAAACCGGTATGAGTAAAATGCAATACCAGTATAAATAAACTGGTATTAATAACTAGCAACCCGATATGAATAAATCAAAATTTTAAATAGCGAAAATAAATTAAAATAAATTTTAAAAAAAAACAACTTTCCCACTCCTTTTTTGTGAACTGCTGTAAGAATTCTTATTCCTGACGTCGACAAGGAACCAGGTGATTCCCGCAATGTATTGGCAGTTGTAATGAGAGTGAATGTTTTATCGAGTTTAAAATTCTGAAGGAATTTTAAAACGCCTATATGCGAGATCACAATCCACTTTAAGCCTAAGAGCTTACTTAGAATTGGAAACAGCCCTCTAACCACGAAATTACTCTCCGGTCAGTTGCAATAGCTTAGTCCAGTGGAAACGATCAAGGATTCGTCAAGTTTTTTGCAGGGAACAAAGTTCTAAAATATGAAATGTCTCTGGTGAAAAAGTAAATAAGTGTAAAAGATGAAGATGAAGATGGGCCTGTACTGTTTGATTCAAAATCGATGGATTCTTGACTAAAATCTACGCCAATGTTGCATTGCTAATTTTATGTTTGACGTGCTTCTCTTCTGTCTTGATCTTAACACTTTGTCCAGTTGAGCAACACATTTCTTTTATATCAGAGGGCTTCCTGTTTCACTTCGAACCTTACGCATTGTTGAGTGGTTTACACATTGCATTTAATCCCCGAGTTTGTTACTCAAAATTTCATCAAGTTCACAAAACATACAATAAATAAAAATTGGTAACTCAAAACTTGTACTCCTGTGAAGGATTTTGGGTCCTTAAAGTCTGATGACGCTAGGTGCTGCTGTTTTTGCACAATACGGAGAACATACATACGTACATACATACGTACATACATACACACATACATGCATACATACAGATTCTTCATTACTTAATAACGAAGATTGGAGAAAAATGTGGTTTTTATTGTAAAAGAAGATAAGAGTTTAGATTTTTCTATTACGTTTTGATTGCTATCTAGGAATTATACCATCGAAATATAATTGTTTATCTAAGCAGTCATGCACACTGTTCGCATTTGAAACTTTTCTCATTAATCAAAATAAATGATAAACTATATTTTCAACGTTAGTTTTAACATACAAAGAAACGGTAGACATAATAATGACTACCGTTTCTTTGTAGGTTAATTACAAAGATACGATTCTCTGTTTCCTACACTCCAATGATTTGTATCTCCCATTATCTGATCTCCAACGACTCAACCTAATTCACAATCCACCATCATCACTGTTATCTTCTTTAAGATTTCCAATATGTTCTTCCCAAATTTAGAAGCTAAAACTACACTGCGTATGTCATTTCTATTTAAATGCCAGTTGTATTTTTATTTCGCCATTCTTTATTTTAGCATTGTGTTTGGTTTTGTTATTTGTTATTATTTAATGAGACATTCTGGATGCCTGGAAATGCAAAGATTTTATCCAGATAGATTAATAGTATCTGCTAACTGTGAAAAATAAAAATCATGTTTTAATCATCAAACCAGTTGTGACTTTTGTACCAGTCGTCATCTAAGCTACAGTCTTCTTGGCCATGACTAAGGAGGAAATTAGTTTTCATCTTCTGCAAAGAATTACATCACATATACATATTAAAAAATTATTTCGAAAATTATATTTTAACTTCGTAATTTTTTTACAGAAAAAATTATTGAATATGATACAACTTTATCCTAAGGAAAAATTCTGAAAGCTGTCAATGTTCAAACGAATGTTCTAATGAAATGTTGATTATCTGTTAATTAGTGTAAACTGAACTGTTTAACGCACACTATGCTAAACGATCCTAAAGAATATTTTAGTGTATGACTTTTTGAATTATACAGTACTGAGAAACGGATGAAGAGAGAGTAAAATGTAAGAACAGCTTTTAAATTGTTTTTTAACTTTCTTTTTCCATTAAATTGTCTTTCAGCGAAATTTTGGTTAACAAGGAGAACTTATGAATTCCATAAATTATTAACCAGAAACTTAAAATGCACTAAAATTTATAGACCTTTGGCTCTAAGAATTTACTGAAAAAAAAATTCTACGATAAAGCACATTCAAAACAATGTATTTTTAAAACCACTGTGTTTTTAATTCAACAGAGGAAAGTCAAATGAATAATTAAATGTTTAAAGTACATCAACTAGAATATTCTTAGCATAAAATGATAGACTCTTCAGATATAATATTGTCTTTTGTTGTGTAGAAAGTTATAGAAATTTTTAAGAGAGAATCTTTGCGATGCTATTTCACTTACATACCCCCTCCCCACACACAGAGAAAAGAAAAAAAAATTATTTTACATTTTAAAACTAATAAAACCAGATAATTAAAATAATATTCAAATAGACTTTGCATAAGTAATATTTAAAAATTATTCAAAAATAATTAAAAACTTATAATTTTTTATATTTAATATCATTAAAAATTTTAAAACTCATAATAATTTTTAAAAAATTTTAATTCAATTTTTATCTTTATTTATAAAATTCGAATACGGAGGTATGAAATATTTCCTTCGATACAAAATGAAATACAAAGTAGTAGAAGAGGAAACAATCCCAAATACAAAATTTCAATATTCTACGAGTAATAGTTTTTGACATGCACATGTACGTACAGACGCCACGCCGAAACTAGTTGAAATGAATGGTTAAAACGGATATTTCTGTTGATAATCTGAGGTATACAATTATTGCTTTATTCTTAAAACATTTGACACTGGTACATCATCTCAAAATATGTGAACATTTAACCAAAATTAAATAAATAAGTAAAATAGAAATAATAGAAGCTAATTTTATGCAGAATTTTTGTGTTATTTGAGAAATTTGTTACTTGTATATCATGTTTTGCTTGTGTTAATCATGTGAAATTTACTTTTCAGAATCAAAATGGCACAAGTTGTCAATGCTTTAACACAGTGGTACAACACAATAATGGCTAATGCAGGTACGTTTCTTATTTTCCTTATGCATTTTCGATGTTTTTTAAAAATTCCAAAATACTGCAAATAGTAAAAAAAAAAAAAAAAAAAAAAAAAAAAAAAAAAAAAACGAATATCTCATGATAGTTTACATTTTAAAATACATCTATTAATGTTGAAAAGTTCGGATGTTGGAAGACTCTTATTTTTCTGGAAATGTGTGTGCATGATACATGAAATTTAAATAATTCTATATTCAGAATAATGTAAGAAATTTAGCTAATTTAATTACACGAGAAGATTTAAAACTTACCCATGCAGTTATAACGCTTGCGTACAGTATCACTATTTGCAGCAGTTTAAGATTTAAATAATGACAACACTAATTACAGGTTTTTTTAAAAAAATAAACAATGGTAAAATAAATTGCAACTGCTTTTCCTTAAATTTTAATCAATTAGTAGCAGTAACAGTAGCTATTTTTTAAATTTTCAAACGATGGTAACACTAACTGCTGCTGTTTTTTAAATTTTAATTTTTTGCTCTCGGGCTTCTAAAATTTCTCTTTGTTAGCACCAGAACAAGAATTCCTACCAACATCGTTGGTTTTCTTAATTTCTTATTTTTAGATTGAACTTTATATATTTATTGATTTTATATATTATTAATTGCTGTTTTGCTACTTTAAAGGTTGAAATCAGAGTAGCAAATCATAAAATGTTGCTTGAAGTAATACAAATTACTAATTAACGCATTACTATTAATTTTACAGATTAATTAATTACACATACACGTCAGTATTCCCGTATGTATTTGCATCCAAATGCTTTATACTGTTTATAAAAATGGAAAAGAAAATTTTAAAAAAGCTAATTATCACAATAAATAGAATGTAACATAATAAATAAACGTGTACAAACTCATTAACTTGCCTCGTTACGTAAAAGGCTACTTAAACCTTTAAAAAATAAACTTTAAAATACTCACTACTTAAACCTTAACTTTAAAAAATAAACTTTTAAATCAGCGTAACAAAATTGAGCAAAGTACTAAATACTTTCATACAGCTGCCATGATGTCATCGCTGTAAGGTAGCCGGGTGCGATAGCCTTGTGTGCGATTTCGAATGCGGAAAACGTATGAATGTTCCTTAGTATCTTTGCAGAATGGTGGTACTTAAAATAGTGTCAAGCCTAAAGTCCTCTCGAGAGGCTGTTGGAAGGAAAAGATGCTTATCTGTCTCCCCCCGGGGGATTCTTTAAAAGTGGGATGGTGTTGGCCAAAACTGTACTATCATCTACTAGGTAGTGCCCCAGGTCTAACTCAACAATAGACGACTCCCTTGTCTCTTACCGCGATAAAATTCGTTGACTTGATCCGATATGACTATCAGACAAGTCAAATAAGTCACAAAAACGTGTTAATTAACTACCACAGGTATATTTATGTCCAAATGTTTATTTAAATTTACTTCTGTTTATAATGAGTGTAAATAAAAAGGCGAAAAGTAGTTAAGCCTTCATTGATTTGACTACATGATATGGCAGTTCATTCTTAAATATTTACATATTTAAGAATATGTTACCATAGGTGTAGATAAGAAGATAAGCTAAAAATAGATAACACTGCTAACTTTAATTTGCAATAATAAGATAAATAATAATAATAATTTTTAATTTGATTATTTTCCTTTTTTATCTTAAAAATAGTAACGGATTATAAAAAAATCTTTATATAGCATATAATTAACATTTCTCTTAATTTGCACGTAATATTTAGTAATTTTAATTTTACTCTTATTCCTATTAGCTAAATTATTATAATTATTTAAAAATTATTTTTGTTCAAATTTTTTAATATTTAAAATCAAAATAAAAAATGAAATAATTGGTCATTAGTTAATTAAAAGTGGATGAAAATAAAATTAAAAAAATAATTAAAAATTAAAATGTGACATACGTTTTTGATACCTTTTTTTAATATTTCATTCACTTTTGGTTTCTTGGTCATTAATTTTCTAGTTGTTAGTAAGAAATAACATTTATATTAAAAGTAACAATTTCTTATAACTTTTTTAACTGTAGCATACAATGATTATACAATTATATTAACAATATTTACTTTAAACTTGCTATAAGCTGCCATTTTAGAATGTTAAACAAAATAATAAAATGATTTAGAATGTTAAACAAGATAATAGAATTTTTATAAATAATACTTAAAGTTGTTTAACATAGACTAGAAGTTTTCTCCAACCGTATTAGTTAAAATTTTAGGGGTTTTATTCTAATAGCAGAAATTTTTATTCTGATAGAAGAAAATCGACTTCATTGTTCATTGATTTTATTGACTGCTCTTGTTTTTTTTTTTTTTTTTTTTTTTTTTTTTTTTTTTTTGTTACCCTTAAAAACGGTAAAAGTCAGTTAACTTAAAAAAAAAAAAAAAAAAAAAAAAAAACTCTGTATTTGTCTTATATTTACACATTTTTCTTTTAAGTTATGATATTTCTTGTGTGACAAATAAAAAAAGAACTACAAATTACTTATTGTGAACCTGCTTATGTTTCTTATAAACTACTTAAATGAAAATTCTATCCGCATACCAATTGTAAACTACACTCTAGTAAATCACGAAAGAATATTATTAAATAACATTTAAGAAAAAAATGAATTATTTTTATTTATTTATTAACAACCCTTCAAGGCAAATTCAAAATACGTAATATATCGAAATTTTGAAATTAAATATCTCGGTCAGTTTTTTACCTAAGGGAGCCAGAAGGTTTGGTGCTTGCTTTTTAAAATGACTATAGAAATTTCCTAAATGTACTCACTGGGAGCGGATAACAGTATACAATATTAGAATTCGTTCATTCCATAGTCTATTTCTTTTTTAAATTAAAAATGCTAAACATGAATGTTTGCGTCATTCAAAAACTTTCTGTAACTGGAGGTACATGTCTACGACCAACGGTTTCGAAAATAAAGACTGTCTAGGGAGTTCTCAACCAGGGAAGAATTCTTCCCCCTAAGGAGGAATTTCATATTTTGAGAGGAAGGGGATGCGGTCAGCCTTTTATTTACCTGTTAAGCATTTAATTTTATTTTATGAATATAAAAAAACTACTTTTATTCAAGTTTTGGAATTTATTAGCATTTCTATAAGTTTGTGAAGGCCTGGTCTAAGGACGTTGACAGAGAAGATGTGTATTATACGTGCACACATACTCGAATAGACACATACTCGCACACATACTCGAATAAAATACACATTTTTAGAATGTTTTTGGAGCCATTTAATTAATGTTTAAAATGTAAGGCGTATCTTTGTTAGCCTTTTTTTCTCTGAACTATGCATAGTGATTTCCATGATAGAAAGGTTTTTCGTAAAATTTCTCGGAGTATTGATTTCCATTTCTGTTCCACTACTTTTCAGAATCCATCAGTTATGGAGGGTTTGCGCTAAGAAAGAGTTCTTTTCCAGATTCTAAAAGCTCCACAGATGAAATGTCGCGAGACTTATAAGAATACGTTGAATACTTTTGTAAGCAATACCTATACCAGTCTTCATTTTTTTCGAGGCATGCAGAGGTACTTTTCGAAGTATAACTTGCAGCTTTATATTGTTAAAATTTCATCTTTTGAAAGTCACTGGGATAAAGAAATGGAATCTCTTCTGTAAAAACTTTCTCTTGAAAATATATTGATTTGATTTTAACCTTTTTTAGCACTCTTTTTAATTTCGCATTGTAAGAGAATCCTGTGACAGTCGTAAACTCCTTACTGAAACTTCTTTGCGTTGAAAGAACCACGTTTGTACTCTTTTTCTCTTCGTTTTCGATAATAAATAGGCCTTTTTTGTTGCAATCATTTAGGCAACCCTATTTTTTAAGAGTTTAGTTTATTTTCATTTATCTTCTGCTAAATAGTTTCTTTACTACTATAAGTTATTCTATCTATGGTGGGCATCGTAACTCGGCAAAAGTTGGCTAAACATTATGCTTTTTAGCCTTTTTAAGCTGGAAATCTTGGTTTATTATTTTATTTATTGTTGTTCTAAATGTAAATAAAGACTGATATCTGAGTTTTTTTTTTTTTTTTTTTTTTTTTTTTTTTTTGTTGTTACCACCTATTTAAACTTTGGAAAATTAGAAACAGTATGTGCCTTTTTCGGGTAATCTTTTGAAATGACAGGCGGTTTCTCCCTTTCCGATTAATAATATTACTTATTTTGCACTTGCAAATTTTAATAACATGCATTTTACAACGTTTTTGAATTATGGAAAAAAAATATTTGTCTTCGAAAAACGCAAAATAATATCTCTCAAGCCACAGCTTCTTTATATCTTATATTTTGAGAGGAAAATCAATTTAAAAGTGGCAGATCATATTTTTGACTTCAAATAATAAGCTGTTGCCAGAAATTTTATTTCCAAAGCACTTGTATTTATTGTATTATTTATGGAAATCGTTTTGAAAATGTGTAAAGACGCTTTATGTGTATGCATCTCTGCATGCATAAATAGTGTGTTTTTATATATATACATCCATACGAAATGTAAACAGGAAGTAGAGAAGAGGCTTAGTATCCGGCGAAGAAATATCGAATTTCAAAATCAGAAGGATGCGAACTAAATCTAAACTTTTATTTTTAACTTGAGTAAAATTAAAGCTACCGTTCGTTACCTCTAATTTCTCCTTCCCTTTGAGGCAAATACTCCATTCTGGGTCAAATGCTTTCTGACGTCACCGTCGGAGCGAAGTTCGTTCGCTTCATTGAGGAAGCTGCCACGCTCAAGGTCACGTTAAGAGCAAAACCGCAGGAACTCCGTAATCGCGAGAGCCGTTCGTCAGGTGCGCGCTGTGTCGGCAGACACACGATAAAATTCCTCCTCAACGTACCCGGAAAGGATCTAAAGAGGGCAATGATTTTGTATTTTAAATTCCAAACAAAGTACTGCTAAGCTTCTGAAAGATACGCTTTGTTTAATGCTACATAACATTGATTCTATTGTTAGCTTGGAATA